TTCGAGTCATGGTAGTGGGAGCGGGGAGGAAACCTTTAGGAACTAGAGGAAGGTTGTATTTCTCATCATTGTTACATCGCACCGTGACTGGCTCATCTCAGGCAGTAAATCTTTACAGGAGCAGAAAGCCTCATCCTTGTCTTTCAGAGTAGCGGAAATGACGAAAGCCCATTACCATTGGGTCAGTTCCAACATGAGTCTTTGTGTCAGTGCTTCATCAATAACGTGGCTAAGCTGTGCTGCTCCCTGCCTTTGTCTTCTTTCCCTATTATATCTGCCTCTCATAGCATAGCTCCCACACACTCACGGGGTCTGCTTCCTGCTCACAGTAGCTCGCCTGATCCTTGTGCCCATTTCTGTATCTTATGATATCCTTCTCCCTCATCACTCACCTATCGACCTGACATTTGTAGTGCACATTACCAAGAAGGGGATTTCTCAAGCGGAGTGACATTTCAGCCCAGGGGAGAAGCAGAAACATAGGTGTCAAGCATGGCTACCCAAGGGCTCCTTCCTTAGAGACTATGAATGATCCTTTTTTCCTTTGAAGAGGGTCTGGGTTCTTACTAAATGATTCTATAGAATCATTTATGAAATTGTTGATCCTCTGTTCTGTAATCACTCAAGGCATATTGAATGTGAATTTATAAATACAATGTGGACTTTAAAATGTTCTTTGTTCTTAGGGACAGAATTCTGTCTCTAGAAGCATAGTAAAACAAGGACCATGTATATCCTAAGTAGCACTATCTATGACTTTCTGCTCTAATGCTGGCCTCTTTGTACTTTGCCTTCCCTTTTTGTAGGACATGGAGAGAGAGGATGGGTATATAACCATGGCACATGGAGATTTCTTGTTTTAAAGCCCAGAAAACTACACCACGGAACTAGTCTCTCATAGCTTCTTTCTCATCCATCACCTCTGCCCTTGTCTAAAAGGAGAGCCCCCAAGAGGAATGGCTGCTGTGTCTCCAACCACCGGATGCCAGGTGAGATGGGATTGTTTGTCTGAAATACTGTGTTCATCTCCAGAATGTAAGCACTTTTCTTTCCCCACTTGGCAGCTGCTTTGACCCACCCAGGTTGATGAAGGAGTCCGTAGGAATGCTTGCTTCCCCTTTGGATTGTTGTTTCCTGTAATGGCCCTTTCTTGCCTTGAACCATGTGTCCTTTATCCTAACACTGGGCACACGGCTTTTAAGGCCTTGGCTTTGGATGCTTTTGCCTGAAAACCCCTGGCAGGGGGCTGACAATGGATGGGTTGTAGTGATTGTCCCTTCCGTGTGTCCTTGTATGGACTGAAAGTAGGCCTTGGTGCGTGCTCCAGGGAATGTTGGGTTGGGCTGGGGGAGTGGTACATACTGTAGACCACTTCAGTGAGTTTAGTCCTCAAAGTCTTATGGAGACATGGCTTGGCCCATTCTTGCCAAGGGCAGAAAGAAAAACTTGAGTTCCACACTCTGGCCTAGAACTCCTGACTTAGACTCATTTGGGGTTTTAAGACAGGGTAAAGATACAAACTTATAGAATCAGAGGACAGTAGAGCTAAAAGGGATCCTAAAGACAATCTAATCCAACATCACTAAGAATTTTGTTAAAAAACAAGGACAACTGATGAAATTTGAATAAAGTTGTAGATTATATAATTGATAGCAACATTATTTTCCTGATTTTTGCAGTTATCTTGTGGTTATATGAGGAATACCATGTTTTTATGATATATGCACGAAAATCTTTAGGAGTAAAGGGGCATCACATTTACAGCTTACTCTTAGAAGTTC